TGAATGCGTATGTATAGCAATGGTGCGTCGATGTCGTCGTACCGTTGCGTCTTGAACTCGCGGTCGATCTTCGCGATGTACGCGAGAAGGTCGACAACCTCTACTCCGACGTCCATCAACGGAGCTGGTACTGCAGTGTGCAAGTAGTCCCGCAATTGTGCCATGAGCACATTGCAATGCGGTTTCGGCAATCGTCCGGTCGAGGGAACGGGCATCCACTGGAAGTCCGTGAACGTCAACGGGTCGAGCTCATCAAGTCTTGACCATGACGTCGAATCCCCGACGATAGATTGCGGCGAAGCTGCCGAATCGGTTGCCGATGGTGATGAAACCGTGCATGAGGTGGACTGTTGCACGTGGAGTGGTTGGTCCAGCGGTGGAACCAAGTGGACAGCATAATCCTCGTAAGTATAYCGAGGACTTGCGACATTCGCATCCTCCCCAGATGTGCAGGAGGCCGCTAGCAAGGCGGCCGAATCTGGCGGAGTGGAAGGTGGAGTCGCCTCACATTCCGCGAAGCTCAGTTTCCCGAGCTGAGGCGGGTTCGCACATCCTCCTTGCCCTGATCCTGGCACAGGGAGGTCTTGTGCTTGGTGYTGTTGCACCAATAGCAGCTGCCGTAGCGGCAGCGGACTTTGTACTCCGCCTTGGTCAAGCCAAACTTGACCCATGGAAACTGTCCTGGCTGTCCATTTCCGGCCTGCGATGCGGATTTCGCCTTCCCATTGTTGCGGGACTTGTTGGTGCTTCGCGGCTGGACAGCAGCCACCTGATCTCCGTCACTTGATGCTGGAGTGGTTGTTGGGTTATCCCCACTGTCTTGCTGGACTGCAGCGAAGTGCTGCTGTCGCGGACCGGTTCGTACCTTCTCCACATAGGTCGGCTGCCATGATGTTGATTTCTCCTGTGCAGCTGACCTGTTGGTCTTGATGATCTCTCGCGCCTTGTCGATAATCTCGGCGAAGGTGGCGTACTSCTCGCGATCACCAAGAGCCTGGCTCAATGCAGCACAGGACCTGTTGTAGAACTCACGCCTGAGATGAGTGAAAGGCAGGTCCAGCTTGGGCACTGCCGCAATCTTCTTCCACTCTGTGAGCCAATCCCGTGTTGCAGTGTTGCCCTGTGACATGGTGAACAAACGGTTGATAGCGAGTGCCGGCGCGTCGTCGACGATGAACCGCTTCTTCCACAGCCGTGTCAGTTCTTCCCATGTGATCTTGTCCTTGAGGTCCGGTACGTCGACGTCGTGGGAGGTTGCCAGGTGGGTCAACCAGGTCTGGCATCCGCCCTTTGAGTTCAGGAACAGGGCGCCGATGTACTTGTGCTTAGCGACAAGCAGAATCCTGAGTTGCTTCGTGAATGCCTCCCACCAGAGGGTCGGATCCTGCTGCGTGTAGTCGTTGAACTTTTCCAGTTGGAAAGTTGGCATCTTCTGATTGCCATCTGCGTTCGTCGACTGCAGCTGTTGGACCTCGGTCTTCAAGGTATGCAGCTGAGTGCTGATGGTGGACGGCGCAGCGAAGGTGGTAATGTCGCCGAGCATTGCCAGGATGTGGTCAACGCGTTCCTCCAGTTGGCGGCTAGAGGGTGCACTGCTGGAAGCCCCAGCAGTTGGTCCTGGTACAGCCTGTTCCAGGTCCAGCAATCGGGCATTGAGTGCCCGAGTTGCATCCTCGTGGCTCTGCACTGTGCGGCGGAGCGTTGCCAACTCCTGATGCTGTTGCGTCAGGTCCTGGTACTGTCTCTCAAACTCTGACC